TGCCTGCATTTGCCCATGATTCTCTAAACCTTTCCTATTCGTGTACCTATATATAGTCTTTTAAACGTTGTAATCGTACCTGTGTCTATCACTTCCCCTGGCAGTTCATTCCACACACACACACCTCCTTCTGTGTAAAAAATTGCCCCTCAGGTCCCTTTTAATTCTTTCTCCTCTTGCCTTAAAAATATGCCCCTAGTTTTGAACTCACGGACCATAAGGAAAAGACCTTTGCTGTTCACCTTATCTATGCCCCTCATGATTTTATAAAGTTCCTATGCTCCAAAGAGTCCAAGCCTATCCAGCCTTATAGTTCAAATCCTCCAGTCCCGACAACATCCTGGTAGATCTTTCCTGGACCCTAGCTTCAAACTAAGAAAGTATGAAGCATGTCACTGTTGATTTTCAAAAAATCTTGGGCGTATTCTTACAAGGAATGCAGAAAGTTAGCACAGCTATGCATCAAGCAGTTAGGAAGGCCAATGGCATATTGGTCTTTATTGCAAGGGGTTTGGAGTGCAGAAATAAATAAGTCTTGCTACAATTGTATAAAGCTTTGGTGCAACCACATCTGGAATGCTGTACCACGTGCAATTTTACTCTCCACTTTTAATGAAGGATATACTTGTATTGAAGATGTCAGAACAAAGATTTGCTAACTTGGTGCCTGGAATGAGAGGGTTGTCCTCTGATGAAAGGCCAAGCAAACTGAATCTCCCATTTCTGAAGTTTAGAAAAATGAGAAGCTATCTCAATGAAACATACAAGGTTATGAGTCGAGTAGTTGCAGTGGTACTGTCTCAGGGTAAGGAGCCAATCACTTAGGATTGAAATAAGGATAAATTACTTCAGTAAAACGATCGTGAATCTTTCTAATTGTCTACTCCAAAAGTAGCCAAAAGTATAGTTAATGCTTCATCATTGACTAAATTTAAGACTGAGATAAATAATGTTGTAAGGCATTATCAGCGTGTTAAATGGGACAGTTTTCAATCAAATCTAGCAACTCAAGCTGGGCATCCATAGGGCATTATGGGCCATTAGTAGCAGCAGAACTGTACTCCAACTCAATCTGTAATCTCATGGCATATCCCTGACTCTACCATAACAATCAATCTAGGGGATTAACCCTGGTTCAATGAAGAGTGCAGGAGGACATGCCAGGAACAGCACCAGGCATAACTAAAATGAGTTGTTAACCTGGTAAAGCTGCTAAACAGGACTATTTCCATGCCAAACAGCACAAGCAGCACATGATAGAGCTAAGTAATCACACAACCAATGGATCAGATCTAAGCTATGGCATCTTGCCACATCCAATAATGAATGGCAATGGACAATTAAACAACTCACTGGAGGAGAAACCATGGGGTGGCGTGATGGCTCAGTGGTAAGCACTGCTGCTTTACAACACCAGGCACCTGGGTTCAATTCCAGCTTCAGGCAATTGCCTGTGTGGAGTTTGTACATTCTCCCATGTCTGCATGGGTTTCTGCTGGATGCTCCGGTTTCTACCCACAGTCCAAAGATGTGCAGGTTAGGTGGATTGGCCATGCTAAATTGCCCATTGTGTCCAGGGATGTGGATTAGGTTAGGTGGATTAGCTATGGGAAATGCAGGGTTATAGGGATAGGGTAGGGGGGTAGGTTTGGGTGGGATGTTCTTTGGGGAGTCGCTGTGAGCTTGTTGGGCCGAATAGCCTGTTTCCACACTGTCTGGATTCTACTCTATTAATATTGCCATCATCAATAATGGGGTGGCCCATCACAACAGTGTAAGAGATAAGGCTGAAGCAGTTGCAAAAACTTTCAGCCAGAAGTGCTGAGTGGATGATCCATCTCAGCCACTTTCAGAGGTCGCCAACACTACAGATGCCAGTCTTCAGCCAATACAACTCACTCTACATGATAGCAACAAATGGTTGGAGGGACTGAACGGACCCTGACAACATTCTAATAATATTACTGAACACTTGTGCTCCAGAACTTGTCACACCCTAGTCAAGCTGTTCCAGCACTGCTACAGCACTGGTCATCTAACCGACAATGTGGAAAATTGCCCAGTCATGTCCTCTATACAAAAAGCAGGAGAATCCAAACCAGTCAATTACTGTCCATCCCATTAGTAAAGTGATGGAAAGTGTCATGAACAGTGCTATCAAGCAGCACCTGCTCAGTGACTCCCGATTTGGGATCCACTGGGGCCACTCAGGTCCTGGCCTCATTACAGCCTTGGTTCAAACATGGACAAACAGCTGAATTCCAGAAGTGAGGTGAGATCGATAGCCCTTGACATCGAGGCTGCATTTGAATGAGTGTGGGATTAACGAGCCCAAAACTGGAGTTAATGGGAATCAGAGGGAAAGTTCTCAGCTGTTTGGAGTCATACCCGGGACTTAGGAAGATGGTCACAGTTGTTGGAGATCAGTTATCTCAGCTTCAGGACATCTCTGCAGGAGTTCCTGAGGGTAGTGTCCAGACCCGTCTCCAGCTGCTTCATCAGTAACCTCTCTTCCGTCATAAAGTTAGAAATTGAGATGTTCACCGCTGATACTGAGGCAGACCATGTTCAAATACAACAAGATCTGAACAATATCCAGGCTTGGATTGAAAAGTGGAAGTAATATTCATGCCACACAAATGACAGGCACAGACCATCTCCAATAAGAGACAATCTAACCACCGCCCCTTGACGTTCAATGGCACTACCCTCACTGAACCCCCCACTATCAACATTCTGGGGGTAACCATTGATCAGAAACTGAACTTGACTAGCCATATAAATACAGTGGCTACAAAAGCAAGCCAAATCCTAAGAATATTGCAGCCAATAACTTGCATCTTGACTCCCAAAAATCTGTCCTCCATCTACAAGGCACAAGTTAGGAGTGAGACACGCTACCTAACTGGATAAGTGCAGGTCCAGCAATACTCATGAAGCTTGACACCACTGAAGATAAAGCAACCCACTTGATTGGCACCACATCAACAAATATCTATGCCCTGCATGAGCAATGCTCCATATCGGCAATGTATACGATCTGCAAGATGCACTGCAGAAATGTGTCAACAATCCTGAGACAGCACCTTCCAAACTCACTGCCATCTAGAGGGACAAAGGCAACAGATACATGGGAACATCACCACCTACAAGTTCCCCGTTAAGCCAGTCACTATCCTGACCTGGAAATATGTCACTTTTCCTTCAGTGTTGCTGGGTCAAAAACCCAGAATTGCCTTCCTAATGGCATTATGGGTCTATTTACAGCACACGACCTGCAGTGGTACAAGAAAGCAGCTCAGCACCACTTTCTAAGGGCAACTAGGGATGGGCAATAGCTGGCCCAGCTAGTTAGGCCCATGTCCTATGAGTGAACAAATAAAAACATATGCTTAGTATCACAGAATCAAGGGATCTGGGGAGCTGAAACCAAGATCAGTTGTGATCATATTGAATGACAAAGAATGTAGGGTGGCATGGTGGTTCAATGATTAACACTGCTGCCTCACAGCAGCAACAACCCCGATTCCACCCTCAGGAGACTGTGTGGAGTTTGTGCATTCTCCCCATGTCTGTGTGGGCTTCCTCTGGGTGCTTCAGTTTCTTCCCACAGTCCAAAGATATGCAGGTTAGGTGGCTTGGCCATGCTAAATTGCCCCATAGTGTCCATGGATGTGCAGGCTAGGTGGATTAGCCATGAGGAATTCAGGAGTACAGGGATAGGATAGGGGGATGGGTCTGGGTGGGATGCTTTTTGAAAGGTTGGTGTGAACTTGATGGGCTGAATGGCCTGCTTCCACACTGTAAGAATTCTGTGAAGAAATTCTATGGTAGCCCATGTGGTCTGCTCCTGTTCCTGCTCCTTGTGTTTAAAGTGTATGTTCCAAACTCAATTCTGTTAATTTTGTTATTTGAGTCTCAGTATCTGAATTCATGGGAGTTGAGTCACACTGCTGTATAATTTCTTGTATGATATTTCCTTATTGTGAAACAAAGATAACTTTTTGTGACCTGAACCAGATATTCATACCATATGCAAGTCAAATTACATGCCTATTCAATTACATAAGAATATAAGAACTTGGAGCAGGAGTAGGTAATTCAGCCCTTTGAGCCTGCTCTACCATTTAATATGACCATGGATGATCTCATCTGAGCCTCAGCTCCACTTTCCTGCCTGGTCTCCATGACCCTTCAACCCCTTACTAATTATAAATCTGTCTATCGCCTCTATAAATTTACTCAATTTCCCAACATCCACTGCAATCTGGGGTAGTGAATTACACAGATTCGTGACTCTGTGAGAGAAATAATTTCTCCACATTGCTCTTTTAAATCTGCTACCCGTAATCCCAAAACTATGACTTCTCCTTCTAGATTGCCCCACATAAGGAAATATCCTCTCTATGACTACTTTGTCAATCCCCTCCAATGTCTTATATATCCCAGTTAGATCTCCTCACGTTCTTCTAAACTTCAGATAGTAAAGGCCTAAACTGCTCAATCTCTCTTCATAAGCCAAACCCCTTATTTCTTGAACCAATTTAATGAAACTCCTCTGAACTGCCTCCAATGCAATTACAGTCCTCCTCAAGTAGGGGACCAAAAATGTATTCCAGGTGCAGTCGCACTTAGTGACTTGTACAGTTGCAGCAAAACTTCCCCACTTTTCTACTCTTTCCTTTTCACAATAAATGCCAAAATTCCGTATGCTTTCCTCATTACCTGCTGTGTCTGCATACCAGTTTTCTGAGATTTGTGCAAAATGACACTCAGATCCCTCCGCACCAAAGCAATCTGAAGTTTCTCTTCTTTTAGATATTAAGTTGCCTTTCTATTCTTCCAACCAAAATAGATAACCTCACACTTATCCACTTTAAACTTCTGCCAAATTTTGATACATTTGCAAACTTCTACTTCTTCATTGAAACTTATTTTACCACCTATTTTAGTGCCATCTGCAAATTTGGCTATTTCTATATGTGCATCCATGATCTTACCTTGTGTCTTAAAACTTTTGTGTGGCACCTTATCAAATGCTTTCTGGAAGTCCAAATATAGTACATCAACAGGATCCTGATTATTCATCTTTCTTGTAACATCTTCAAAGAATTCTAGCAAATTAGTCAAACATGATTTACCCTTCATAAAACCATGCTGACTCTGATAGATTGAGTTTTGACTTTCCAAATGTCTTGTTATTACTTCCTTAGTAATGGACTGTAACAAACAACACATGTTATACTAACACGCATTATATTAGCATTTTTCCAATCCTCTGAAACCTTTCCCCTAGCCAGGGAATTTAACACTACTATAACCAAAAGATCCACTGTCACTGCTGCCATTACCTTTAAGACCATAGGATGTAGGCCATCTGGCCTTGGAGACTTGTTTTCCTTTAATCCCAATAGTCTGATCAGTACTTTTTCCCTAGTGATGACAATTGTTCAAAGCTCTTTCCTTTCTATAAGCCCTACATTATTCGTTACTATTGGGATGGTACTACTGTCCTCCACCATTAAAACTGAAGCAACATATTTATTTGGTGTCTCTGCCATTTTTGTTTTCTCTAGTGTTAACTCCATAGTCTCATCCTCCAAATGACCAACATTCACTTTAGGTATTCTCTTCTCTTTCATGTACTTAGAGAAGCTTTTGCTATCTATTTTTATGTTTTGCATGAGTTTTCTTTCGTAATTTACCTTCCTCTTTTTATTATGGTTTTAGTAACCCTTTGTTGATCTTTAAAATTTTTCTGATCTTCCAGCTGCCACTCACCTTTGAATTATGGTATGCCTTAGGTTTTGTCTTTATAATATCCTTAAGTTCCTTGCTTAGCCATGCATGTTTTATCCACCTCTTCCAATCTTTCTTCCTTCCTGCATATGCTTCAGTTAGAAGCAATTGAGAACCTCCTTAAACATCAGCCACTGCTCATCAACTGTCCTACCTTTTAGCCTTCCTGCCCAGTCCACGAGGGCCGGATTTGTCCTCATGCCTATCTTTAACCTTTGTTTAACTCCAGAACACTAGACTCCAGTTTCTCGCCCTCCGACTGAAATTCTATCTTACTATGATCATTGATTATTGGAGAATCCTTTACTATGAGATCAGCAATTAATCATACCTCATTACACAAATATCAAATCAATAATAGCCTACTCCCTGGTTGGTTCCAGAACATATTGCTCCAAGAAACAATCTCTAATGCATTCAATGAATTCTCCTGCAAGGCTACCCTTACCAATTTGATTAATCCAGGCTATATGCATATTATAATCACCCATGATTCTTTTTGTACCTTTCTTACAAGCCTCCAGTATTTCTTGGTTTTACTGTACCCCACTGCAGGACTCTCATTTGGGGACCCACGGATTATTCCCACCAGGAATTTCTTTCCCTTGCTATTTCTTATCTCTACTCAGACTGATTCTACATTTTGATCACCAGCCTTGATATTATTACTCACTACAGCATTTTACTAACAAAACTACACCACCTCCTTTTCCTTCCTGCCTGTCTTTCCAAAATACTGAGTACGCTTGGATATTCAATTCCCAAATCTGCTGTCCTTGGAATTTTGGCTCCCATGGGATTACGGACTGCAGGTAGAGTGGAGAGGCATTTCTGGAGAGACCTGAAAGGACAATTCTGGGATGCCAGCGCATGGTTCCTCACCCTGCTGAATGCCAACTTGCACCAATCTTTCTCCTTGACAGAAAGGAGCACCTGGAGTGACATCACGATCTCTCATATCTGTCACCGCGCCGCGGGTACTAAACACCAATGACTGGAGCAAAGAAGCACAGGTCTGTGCATATATCTGGCACACAGTGAGTGTGCTTGACCTAGATCTCCATGGCAGCTGCCAGTCTGCCCATGGAGGTAGCCATGGGCATGCTAGAGGCAGTGTGAAACAGATGACATTCGTGAACTCCTACAACCTTTGAATCAGTTTCCTGACTGCCTTTGACAAACCTGCCTGCTCTTCCTGTGTCTGTTTGTGCACTTGAATGAAATTCTTAGTGAATGACACCATGAGGCTCTCTCTACCTGGGAGCAGGTGCATAGTCCTCATATGCCAGCAACCTGGGGTGTGTATCCCTCAGCCAGCTACGGAGGAGTGGCAGTAACATTCAGGATCACCTGAATGTGATCCTGGCTATACGCTAGTTAAAGTACCAACCAAGGTGTCAGTATCTGAACTGCTGAACGACATGGGAGACAGCCTGTGACACACATCCCTCAGATGAAGTACCAGTGTGTGTCTTTTTCCTCAGGTGTGAAGGAGGGGCTGATGTTCTGCAGAGCTGGTGTCTTCAAGGCAGTGACTGTGTGGATGCCACAGATGCCTGTAGGAGATGAGAGGGAGAGAGAGACAGTAATGGGGGAGCAAAACAGCTCTTGAAAATTAATTTTGCCTAGCTGCTAGGATATGGAGGTCTTGGCATCATCACATGAGCAGTTGTGGTCCTCTCCATTTTGGGCAAAGATTCTCTCCTCATAAGGGATCATGGATGAATTTTGGGTCTCCACCATCCATCTTTGCTCTCTCTGTTCTATGTGTGATCTTTTCTCCTGGAATAAGACAAAGGGAGGATTTAGTGAGATGAAGGTTGCTGGTACAGATCGAGGAAAGGTGGTGAGATGTGCTAAGTGAGTAAGTAGGCATCACAGAGGGCACGCAGGGTTAGAAATCTGGGGGATTGTGGTAGGTGGCAGAGAATGATGGAAGATGATGAATGAATTAATGAGAATGATGGACGTTCAGCCTTGGTGGGACTTGGATACGGAAGCATACAGTGAAGGTGAGCTAGCAAAGAGAAGATGGTGGCACTTACCTTTGTGGAGCACAGAAGACCATTAACCTTCATCCTGTGCTGCTGAGCAATTCTCCATGCCACGGATATCACACTGACCTGGCAGGCAACTTCAGGCCCAATGGCAGGGTCTGTTGCCATGATCTCCTCTGAAGCTCCTGAGGAAATTAGATAATCCTCCTCTTCACCACACTGTCCACCAGAACCTCCAGGTCCCAATCAGCAAAGTGAGGTGCCAAGTTGCTTGTCAGCCATCTCCAAGGTAACACCTCTGACACTGCAACTGTGAATGAGTTCCTAGCTGGCAGAAATTGACCTGGTCCTCATCTGGAGTTTAAATATGGTGCCACCAGTGAGAGATCCAGAAGGTCTTGGCAGTCACAAGTACTTTTGCCAGTGGCAATGTCACAGAGCACTGAGCCTACAAAATGAGGTGAGCTGCATATCATTATGTGAGAAAATCTGAAAGGGCTCATGGAGAAACCTTGTATAAAACTTCCCAAAATTGTCAATTTTTGGTGAAATTCAGCCCAAGATTTCTGCACAGTCACGCTAATTTAATTTCAGTCGAAGATTGCAGCTCTGGACCCAAGCTGTGACTGCAAATTAAGGAAAATGGAGAAACCACATCATAGAAATACAATATCCAGATCCATTCATAGCTGCCCAAGGTTGTAGCAGACACCATCATCCTTGGATTAGATCCTGTATGAAGTGTGAATTTTAAAACTAACAGATTGTCACAGGATAATTATAATGCAAACAGAAGGCATTTAAAACAACAAATATAAAACAATAATTTAAAGTACAAATGCAGCACATCACGTTGAAATAAAAAAAGCTGTGCAACAAATGAAACTATAATACAAATCCAATACAATAAATTAAAGTATAAACACTAGAGCAAATATAGTGCATGACTTTAAAATTCAAATATATACCATTTTACTGTTGAAACAACTACCAGCAATATCAGCAGAACATGTATTAACACATTCATTTGACACACTCTTAGTCTTCAATTTCAATACAGATCTAACCAATTTAAAATGAAAATTTGCTCATGTCTATAGCAAAATGTGAGATGAGTAAATCATTCTGAACTGCTCAAGGGGGATTCAAGTGCTATTAATGTAATACTGTGCAGGCAGATTCAGTGCTTGTTCTTACCTTTGTGGATACATCTTGCACCATATGAGGAAAATTGGTCCAAATAAATTAATGAAGCAGCATGGATCAAAGAACCAGGGAATATGGGATATGTGAATAATAAAGAACAACCTGAAAGAATAAGGAGTTCGGCACAAATAATGAAATGCAGAGATAATAAGAGAAAATATGCAAAAGGCACATAGTCAATAAAAGTGTAATATGAAAGAGTTGAAAACCAACAGAAAGATTTAAGATAAAAAGAGAGAAAGAATTTCAGTGTGCCAGCAGGAACACAATTACAGGAAGACAGAGGCCAAGTTATTTCAGTTGTCTTTTGAACAATCCTACTTGAAAACAAAGATTATCCAACAAAAAGATGTGAACAACAGCTGTTTCCAGAACAATGTGTGTGTACCCCAGTAGTTTCAATTTTTTTCTATAAATTTACAGGACTACTATTGACCATCCACTCCTGAGTAAGGGTCTAACAGACACAACATTTAGGCCTATACATTTCATGATGGCACTGCATTGTGGCGACAGTTGAAGCTTTTCACTGTATTTTAGCATATTATTCACTTTAAAATGCAAGTGATAATAAATCATTCACTCCAAACATTCCCAATGACACCTCCGTCAGATATCTAACCCAACCTCCCGGGATACTCCACATTCCCCCTCCATCTGCTCCACACCCGACCCCTCACCATGCACTGCCGGAGCCCACTTGACCCCAATCCTCTGCTGCCAGACTCAATCTACCTAATACTCCCCTTCCTCATGGAACCTAACCAGACAAGCCCTGGACCAGACTAGATCCAGCCCAAACACCTACCACTGCTGGACCCAACCTGATACTATGCACCCTAAGCCAGACATGACCAGCCCACCATTGCCACCAGAACTGAACCCCTTCAGACCCATCAGAGACCTTCCCTGCCAGATCCAGTTTCTCCCACCCACCCTAAAATCTGCATCACTTACCTTGCCACCTTCCAGCCTGGCACCCTAACCAATTAACTTACTACTCCCTTCCCACTTGGCATCCTACCCCACTTGGTGATCTAGCCATTTCCCGCTGACAATCTACTTACCTGGCACCTTAACCCTAACTCATTTGGCACAAAATCTTCTACTTTTGGCTCCTAACATTGCCACCCAAACCTCTCCACAGCTATTACCCATCCAAGCTGGCACTTGTGCATACCTGATATGTTATTCCCTCCACCCACCTGTATCCTCCCAGCACCCTAACATCACACTTACCTGATGTAATTATGGTATAACAGTAGCTGTCAAAGTGGCTGTCAACACATTTAAGTTTCAAAACACATCACCTGATTGCTAAGAAAAAGGGGCATGGTTTGCCTTTCTCCAACAGTTCTGCTCTATGGAAGAAACAAGAAGTACCACTCTGCATTATTAAGGAAGCCCCAAGGCTTCCTCTCAGAAATACAGAGCTCCATTCTTTCTTAAAATGTAAATCTGAGAGAGATTGCCTCTCTTCAGAAATCCAGCCCATTATCAATTTCTTTAGTTTCATTAATTGTACTTTAAAACCTTCTTCCTAACAGACTCCACATTCTTTCTTATTCTTTTACATTATTCTTTTGAGGAAAAGGCTGAACACTCCATTGAATGTTGATTCTTAAAATTACTGTCATACACTTGGTCACATTATTGACACAGATATATGGGATAAATTGCACACAGAAAAGCTAGATCAAATGAAATGATGTGGTGAAGTGGTGTTTAACAGCTTGAACCAATGTGCAAGGTTGTAATTCAGTTCTCATTTCTTTTATTCTGTCCTTATATTGATGTAACATTTTGATTTGATATTATCAAAGTTGCTATGCATCTAAAGTTTGTATTGCAGTAGTATTCCTGGTTTTTGTTAATACTGCTTCTGCTGAGCATAAGATACTCTCTCCCATAATGCATCGCACGTTACCACTGAAATGTCATGCATGTGCTAAAGAAATAATAAATAATACATGTTGCTAGTCTGTTTATTGCTTCTAGGTATTTGTGGAATGGGGCAGAGAAATATCAGATATTTTAATCTAGATTTCCAAAATATAAACATTTTTTTGTAAGAGACTAGTGTTTCAGAGCTGTCAGGTAAAAAACTCACTTATATCAATGGAATGTAAAGAAGAAAGTTCCATCAATATACTAAATGATACTGATGTGTCCTGGAAAATTTAACAGTACATGCTTGAAACCATTCAAATTATAGCCAAAGAAGCACAGTTCTCAGTAAAATATCATTCCAAGCCCATAATTTTGGTCAAAGCCAAGGCCTTCAAATCAAAAGTTAATGAGTCTTAAAAAGCAAAAAAAAATTAGTGAAAAAAATGTTGTTATGTTGTATTGAAAGAAAGATCCAAATAGGTAAAATGGCAGTTATAAAAAAAAAGTTAAAATGCATACATTGCAACATGTAAAGTATTGGAATTAAACTAGGGGTAATGGAAGCTTTTTTAAAAACTGCATGGTTCATATTGGGAGCACAAATTGGCTGCAAACTGGACAGAAATGAAAAATAAACAGATTAGGATATTAGGTTGAAATTTGTTGAAAAATGAATGCCATGTGAACATACACATCATTACTAGTGTTTAGTCTTCCAGCTTGTGCCAAGGGAAATGAAATAACTCCACAGGGGCTGGAATCCTGTCACCAGGTCACCCTTTATTTGCACATGAAGAGTCCTTGACTTCAGTACTGTGTCTTCAGGGTCAACTGTCAGTGTGCCAGAATCTCTGACACTCCTCTTTTTATCTGCAGCCAGGGATCCCTGATTCATCCAGATTAATATACCCAATCAGGGAATTCATATTCTATGAGAGATAGTAGGAACTGCAGATGCTGGAGAATCCGAGACAACAAGGTG